ATAAGGAAAGAATTCTGTTTTTGATTAGTAAAATATGCATCATAACAATGAAGTAAGACATTTATACACATATATATATATATATAGAAGGATTTATAATCAGAAGGATTGGGTTGTTTGGTAGATATATGAAAGTTCTTGTAATGTGGTTGTTAAATGTTTCTGATATTTGTGTTTGTCTTGGTGAATGAATGAATTATTTTGCAAGTGATAAGTCTAACATTAAAAGGTCATATTCAACATGAGAAAGTGATATTTGAGTAGAACATATCTTTGGTCGTCATTCCCAGAGCTACCCAAATCCATGTGCTCTCATGGTGGGAGGTTGTTGGGTATTCACTCACACCATTGTAGAAGTAATTTAGACTTTTATTCATGAAAATAAAAACAGGAAAATTAATGTACACAATAACAGGTAAGGCATGTTAAGTTGCATGTTAATTTCCTACAATTTTATTTAGGTCTTTGTCTGTATTATTTTATGGTACAACAGTGTTATGGTGCATGTTATAACAGGGAGAAATTTACTCTGTAGTATTACAAGTCATATCACAGAGAGAAGTAGGACACTTGTTGCCTGTATCAAGGTTTGTGATGAAGAGATTAAATTTAATGTCTTTTGGTGGGATGTCTGTATTTCCAGCAGGAACAGTTTTGTTGAATGATGGAAATAATTTCATTATTTTTATTTTTTATTTAATTTGTTTTAAACAAAGTTTTAATATTGCTTTATTTTATTTTATTTATAATTTTCATTATTATTTTATTTTTATTTATGTATAATAATAATGATATCACTATAAGGTGATTGAAAAAGAAAAAGATTCTAAATTTCCTGCTAGTGGGGCAGTTTTCTTTTTACTAGGGAATCATGGGAAACTAGGGTTTTTCTTTCTCATGATCATGAGATCACTCTACAATTTTTTATTTTTTGTGATCACAAGATTACAACAAAACAATGGCTTGTAAGAACAGCTTGTTACTTGACACACCATAAGAAATGTTTTAAAAAATGCATGGATATATTACTTTTGTTCTTTTTCTCAAATCTTTTTCAATATGACAGAAAGTAAAACAATAGTAGATTTTAAATTCAAACTCTTGATCAATACATCATGGGTAAATGGTGTTTTTATTTGGCATGTCTAACAGAACTTGGAGAATAACTCAACATTAAAATATAATGTCCAAATGAAAAATTTTAAAATAACAGGTTTTTTAATAATAACTGAAGCAAATCTTTCTATCTTAGAGTATGATTTTTGGTTTGGTTTGGTTTGTTTAATGGCATATCAACTCCTTATGGGTCGTCTAATTCCAAAATTTTACTTTCTTGGGAACTTTGGTAACTTTTTTTTAAACAAGTATTGGTAATAATCTTTTAATTTTTTACTCTGAAAATGTATTGCTTATAATTTTTCTCAAGTATTTTTATATTTTCATATTTTGACCACGGTTTGGGTGGTCAAAACATTATTTGTCCATAGCTGGGACCGTAGCAGGTACTACCAACCTGGGTCAGGGTGAACTTGGGAACAACAGTCATTAAGAGATACTTCCATGCTCCTCAAAATGACCGGATCAGAAACCTTGCTACCAGATGTAGTTTATTGTCAGACCCAGTATGAGATTTTTGGTTGAAGTGTATATGATGAGAAAAATGCTTAAAATTGGAATTGTCAGGCACACCTGTGCATTTGCATTCAAGAGTCTTAATATAGAAAATTTTGCTTCTGGCAGGATTCAAACCTGCACCCTCTTTATAAGTGAACCCACCATCATGCAAGCCCAGTAAGCTTTCACAACCAATTATAAATGCACATCTCTTGTTAGGATATATATATATATATATATATATATATATATATATATATATATATATATATATATATATCAAAAGCAAAAACCCTAAAATTTCATGAGGCAATAATTTATTTCATTAGGATATAAAAATGACTCCAATTCATCAGACCTTCAAATCCAAAAAAGGAAACAGAAAAGATTAATCTGATGAATTGGGGACTTTTTTACAAACCTAATGAAATAAATTATTGCTTCATGAAGTTTTAGTGTTTGTGCCTTTGATAATAATTATTGCTCTTTTTCTAACATAGGGCTCTCCCTAGATTTATATCCTTTTGGAAATATCCATACTGATCACTAATATTATCATAATATATATATATATATATATATATATATATATATATAGAGAGAGAGAGAGAGAGAGAGAGAGAGAGCGACCACTATGGAGCAAAGGGAATTTTTAATGCTTGTTGCTTTAATGCATTGTTCTTTGTAAGAATTAAGCACTATGGTGGCCAGGATGGCATTTATATATCACGTATATAATGCATTTAAAAATTCCCTTTCTGTGGCATGCACTGATAACCTAAGGGTAAGAATCTCTGACTGATGCCATATCAGTCGAGTTTCAATCCCAGCTTGAAGCAATCGGATGTCTAGCCATACTAATGAGCTGTGATACAGTGAAACAGTCTGTGGATGACTATATATATATATATATATATATATATATATATATATATATATATATATATATATATATATATACCTCTCTCTCTCTTGACTCTCCCGAATTTGAGGCAGGAGTAAATTGTAGTGTTGTCTGTGTAGATGCCAATTTGGGAATCTATGCCATCAGGAAGGTCGTTGATGAAAATATGGAAAATATGGGCCAAGAATAGAGCCTTGGGGAACACCTGCATTCGTGGGATAGGAACTGGAGAAGAAGTTGTTGAGAACAACCTTCAATTCATGGTTTGACAGGAATGATTGTATTAGGTCAAACAATCGACCTGTAATACCATAAACCTGGAGCTTGCGAAGAAGGCTGGCATGCCAAACCATATCAAACACTTTGGAGATGTCAAGGGCCATGGCACGAGCCTCACCATTATTTTGAAGGGCTTGGTAGATGGTTTCAGTGGTGGCCTTAAGCACATCAGCTGTAGATCAGGCATAGTAGAAATCATATTGTTTGTCTGAGAGTAGCTTATATGAGGTAAGGTGGTTAACCACTTCGGCGTTGATTAGGACTTCGAAGACTTTGCCAAAGAGGGGTAGGAGAATAATAGGATGGTAATTAGAGGGATCAGAGGGGTCGCCAGAGTTCTTAAAGACAGGAACAATGGATGAGGACTTCCAGCAGTCAGGAAAACAGGATTCCTTGAGGCAGTAGTTATATAGTTTACAGAGGGTGGGCGCTAGTTCAGACACGCATTTCTTCAAGACAATGGCTGGTATGCCATCTCCACCACTAGCCTTGTGGGTCGTCTAAATTGGAGATAATGCCCAATACCAATGACGAAAAGGCATAATTTTCTCTAAAAGGATGCTTATATTTTAATTTTTTTTTTTTTAAGCCTTTACTGCAGGACAAAATCTAATTTGAAATTGTTTTGTTATGTGCATGATATAATTTTTATATATTAGGACTTTGAATAAGTTCTCACTGATTTTTCATTAAAGGTAATATTTTACTTACAAAAATTAGTATGAAACATGTCACTGAAATTATTGTCCATTGCTAGCCACTACTTTTTCCCATCTTTTTCTGGTGCCATTTGAATTCCACATTTTTTTGAGGCAAACCATGAGAACCCAATTTTTGGCATCTTCATAAGAATGAAAGTGCTGCTCAGCCAGGCCATGTACCATTGGTCAGAAGAAGTGATAATCAGATGGGGCAATGTCTGGGGAATACAGTGGGTAGTGTAGGACTTCCCACTTAAGTGTTTCCAAATAAGTTCTCACCCGTTTTGCAAGATGTGGCCTAGCATTGTCATGTTGCAAAATCCCTTTGTCATGTATCTCCTTGTGTAGAAGCCATTTTTCTTCAATGCTAGGCTCAAAGGCATCAATTGTAGTTTGATACAATCTCCTGTGATGGTTTTGGTTGGTTTGAGCAGCTCATAATAAACACCCAGCTGATCCCACCAAATACAGAGCAGAAACTTTGAACCATGGATATTCAGCTTTGCCACCAATGTTAATGCATGGTCAGGTTTACACTACAATCTTTTATACTTAGGGTTATCGTAGTGTATCTACTTTTCATTGCTGGTTATGATATTTAATCATGTTAACAGCAAAAGACCTTTCCTTTTCTGCTGTTAAAGCAGCAATTCATATGTGACAAGATGCCATTCAACATTTCTTGGCTTCAACTCATACTGCACCCAATGTCCTTGCTTTTGAATCATTCCTAATGCTTTCAAACATTTTGAAACTGCTGTAAGATCAACTCCTAATGATTCTGCAAGTTCAGTTTGCACCTGACATGAGTCTTCATGAAGTAATGCCTCCAATTCATTATCTTCAAACATTTTGACATGCCAGAACATTTCTTATCTTTAACATCAAAATCATTATTTTGAAGTATCTAAACTAATCTCTGCATGTAGTTTCCAACAGAGCATGGTCACCGTAAGTCTCAACAAGAATTCTGTGTACTTCAGCTGCAGATTTCTTTTGAATAAAGTAGTGCAATAAAATTCCCTGCAAAAACACTTTCTTTGGCATAAAATCTGATATTTTTAATGCCATGAAACAAAGTTCTTGACACTTTGGTGAAATTACATACACTGAATTTCAAGCTTGCTTATAATACTTCCTTATAGATGTATTGCCATCTGAAACTACATGCACACAGTTCTGGGAATTCCATCTGTTGGAAAACAGTGAGAACTTATTCAATGTCCTAATAATTGAAATATTTCTGTTATGCATAGGAATGTGTACAGAGGTTTTTAGTAAATTGTTAATTATAGTGAAGGTTTCCAACTATTTACAATTATAACAGCTATAACTGAGCTCTCCAAATATTTGTGGGCTTATGGCCATATCACATTGAAAAACTGGTTCTTATACGATCACTTAAGTTAAGCCGCATTGATCCTGGTCAGTACCTAGACGGGTGATCACTTGACATTACCAAATGCTGTAAGCTGGATTTGCAGGTGGTATGGCTTACAGCTACATCATGTTGAAACACCAGTTACCATATGATCACTTAAGTTAAGCAGCATCAAGTCTGGTCAGTACCTACATGGGTGAGTGCTTGGGAATACCAGGTGCTGTAAGCTTGGATGTACAGGTGGTATGGCTTATGGCCATATCATGTTGAAACACCAGTTTCTATATTATCACTTAAGTTAAGCAATGTTGAACCTAGTCAGTACCTAGATGAGTGACTACTTGGGAGCAACAGGTGCTGTAATCATGGATCTAAGATTGCAGCTCTATCCATCCATCTACTGTAAGGGTATTCAAAATGACCACAACTCTAGAAGTGGACTCCCATGAAAAATATGACCAAGATTCAGGTAATCTCATAATCTTGAGAAATTCAGACATCTCTGGCAGCATCTGGAGTCAGTGTAAATGTGTCTGCAATCATATAAAAATTTAATGGACTTAGCATTCATTGGACGGTTGCTAGAAGGCAACCTCAGTGCTCAATGAAGAACAAAGCTGCTCATTTAAACTTTATCATTGAACCTGTGGATAAACCAGAGGCCTTCTGGAAGTTCATTCTCTGGACAGATGCCAAAGACAAAATTGTCTGGTCCCACTCAAAGCTGCCATGTTTGGAGAAAAGGCCAACATTGCCTACTAATCAAAGAACATCATGAAGCATAGTGACAGAAAACGTTAACATCTGGATATATTTTTCTGTTCTGAACCTAAATGACTCCCAGGAAACATGAATTCTTAGTCCTACCAACAAATTTTGGATCAGAATCTCCTGCCATCAGTCAGGAAGCTGAAGCTTGGCCAGAAATTAATTCTGTAACAAGACATTGATAATCACAATGATTTTCCCATTGTATGCATCAGCCATCTTCAGGTGATTAGAATTTCAAACCAAACCCTTTATTTTGTCCACTAGAGTAGATTGTTCTAGTTCTATGTGCCATGCCTCTTCCAGATATCTCAGTATCAGTTATTTTTGTTTTCCAATCACCTGAAAATGCTAGATGTATACAATGACCGAAACATTGTGAAAATGACAACAAAGATGAGGACAACAGTCTGAGCAATGTATATAATGTAAATAATTACAATACCCCATCTCATAAATATAAACAGATAAAACATTGACCATATGGCCTAAAAGAAAGAGGTTCATACTCTGGATTGGCTGAGTCAAAATCTGTATCTCAGTTCAATAGGAATGTTGTGGTCAGACCTGAAGTTAGTGGTTCATGCCAAGTGTCCCTTTGACCTCTCTTAATTTGCTGAGTTTTGTGGGAAAGAGTGGACAAAAATCCCCAACAACAGATGTGAGAAGCTGATCAGTAGTTATAGAAGATATTTGGTTGAAGTAATCACTGCAAATTGAAGCATATCTGTGTTCATGTGTGCACATCAAACTGTTTTTTCGTATTTGTGTATATGTTTGAGTGGTGTGTTTGTATGTTTGCATACCTATAAACACACCCACATGAGCAGGCACATAATGTGTGTTCGTGTGTGTGTGCATGTAACTGTATTTTTTTTTGTGTGTGTATGTTTATGTGGGTGTGTTTGTACATTTGCCCCTGCCTATAAACACACCAACATAAACATGCACACATACAGTTAGATGTGCACACATGAACACACAAACATACATGTGCGGGTATGTGCATTGTGTATGCATACATATTTGTCTGTATGTATACATACATATATGCACATGTACAAGTACATGCATAAACACACATCCACACAAACATACATCCACTCACAAAAATTCAACCTAAATTAAATGGTCAAAAGAATATCAATAAAACAGAGATCAACAGAGGAACACAAAGTTAAGGACCACACGAAACATAGACCAATGAAAAAATACAAAAGAAAGAATTAATTGGTTTAACAACATCACCAACACACACATCAAATGTTCTTTCATACTAATAAACATAAAAGACTTATCAAGGGAAAAGGAAAATAATACACGCATACCACAAAACAATAAGCACCAGTTAAGTAAAGTTAAATAATACAACCTACTAAAATACATACACAGTTAACACCTACACACACAAGCACAAACACACAGACATGCACACATGAGCACAGAAACATACATGTGTGGGTGAGTGTGTGCACGCATGTTTGTATGCATGCATTCATACATATGTGTACATATATATGTACACACATAATCCCCCCCCCCTGCACAAATATGCACATGCAAAAATCCAACCATAACCTAAATTAAATGCTCAAAACAATGGCGATAAACCAGAGTTCAATGGAGAAGGGGAGGAAAGAAAGAATAAAATAAAAAAAAATTGAAAAATAAAAAAAAAAACAAAGAGAAATGAAGAGAAATCAATAACAAATCAAGACCCATCAAGTGAAAAGGAAAATAACTCACTCAAATCATAATAAGAATACAAAAAAATCAAGAAATATCAGCTGTTCAACTCTGTTCTGATGAGTGGTCATGTCTATGTAACCATGAAACTTGAAAGTAAACATGAGTTAAGAGAAAAAAATTTTCAAATTAATTCTATTAGTGCTCTATCTCTGTCTTTGATATTGAGCACTCTACCATGAATTCTGCTTGCCTTAAATGTCTCCTTATCAGCAAAGTACTGAAAAACCAGCAATTCTGGCTCCAAAAACAGTCTTTAAAATTAACACTATATATATATATATATATATATATATATATATATATATATATATATACAGTGTAACCCGGATATAAGAGAGTTGTCGGGACCGGAGAAGAAGTCTCTTATATCCGGGTTTCTCTTATATCCGGGTTTGGTCTATTTTATATACATTAACACAGGCTCTAATTTGGGACCAGAGAAAATCTCTTATATCCGGGTTTCTCTTATATCCGGGTTACACTGTATATATATATATATATATATATGTATATATATATAGTATTCCTGATCAATCAAAATTCATAAATAATTAGGCCACACTACAACATGTTTGACACGCAGACTCAATCTACACCTTTCTGACCATAGCTCAGTTAGGTCTCATTTAAATACCCATGGAGACCTACCGGTCACTATTCGTAACATACTTGTTGACAACACAAATATAATAGCATCATCCATATGCAAAAAAGGCTAAAAATAATAGAAGCCTTATTAATAAAAACAAAACAAAATAACACTTAATAATATCAACTATGAACATGGACACCATATCTTGACCACGTTTTGAAAATGAAAATATTATATAAATACATACATGCAACAAACTATTTCTTGTTAACTGTTAACATATTTCAACCTTGAAAATGGCTAAATGTATAGCTCAAAGCACTTGGATAAAAAGAACAATTACAGAATTTTATATAATTTATCATCCAAAAAGAAAAAATTATTAGATCACATTAGAAATTGTATAAAAAAAAATATATATATATATATATATATATATATATATATATATATATATATTTTGTATTTAGGCAGCAATCCTTCTTTCATGCATTTCATTGAATACAACGGACAAGGTGATTTGATGTCAAATGTATAACTGAAAGTGCTCAGATAAAAAGAACATTTGGACAGTTTTTATATAATTTATCATCTGAAAAGAAAAAAATTATTAGATTGAATGACAAATTGTATAAAAAAAATTAAACAAAAGCACCTTGACTGTCATATTCAATGAAATGTTTATATATATATATATATATATATTATTCAAAGTGTATTCTTCAGTGTATCATCTTTGTAAGATTTCACAAAATTATAGTGTTTTATCCCACTGGGCTCTGCCAAAATGCCACTAGTGGATACTCTTTAAGCCTATAAATAGGCAATGATATACTCTCTCACTCTTTTTGGTCTTTTTTCCTTTGGTTTTCAGATGTAGTCACAAATAGATAAAGAATGCTGCTAACTACAGTGCTGCTCGATAAAAGTGACTCACCTGATTTTTTTTACTAAATGTTCTCATCTCCGATGAAACGAAAGTTGAGCTAAATTCAAAGGATAAATGATCTAAAATCTGAAGAAGAAGCTTTGAAAGCTCTTTGAATTCAGCAGTAAGTACTGTCAAGCATCTGTTCAGTATAATGTTCTGGGGATGCTTTTCTTTTCAGGGAACTTATGGAGTATTATAAAGTACAGGCTCTTGAGACAGCAGTTGAGCAACATGCTTTATAAGTTTTCTATGGGGTTGAGGTCAGGAGATTGAGGCGGCCATGTCATAACACTCACCTGCTTCTCATCAAAGTCTTCCTTCATCAATTTTGATTTGTGACAGGGAGCATTATCCTGCATAAAAATGAGCTTGGTGGGGTCGATTTGCACCCTTTCAGCAGAAGGGAGCAGACAAGACTCTAAAATTCTCTTGTACTGCTCACTCCTGGGGGTCTTTTCAATAGGTTTTAAGAAACCAGTTCCCTGAAAAGAAAAGCATCCCCAGAACATTATATTGAAGGGATGCTTGACAGTACTTACTGCTAAATTCAAAGAGCTTTTAAAGCTTCTTCAGATTTTAGATCACTTATCCTTTAAATTTAGCTCAACGTTCGTTTCATCGAAGAAGAGAACATTTAGTAAAAAAAATCAGGTGAGTCACTTTTATCGAACAGCTCTGTATGTGCGTCCACTTCCATGGTCCTCTTTTGACTTTTGAACTCTCTTATACACACATATACACACACTTGTCTATCACACACACTTGTTGCACACATATACTATCAAGGACATTCTTCTGTTTTAATGTTTTCTCCTTCTATTATAGTTGTCTACACATACAATTCCTATTATGCATTGTTGCTTGTTTTATATTTATTATTTTGTATCCCTCATTTGTACCTGGACCCAGAATAAGTTTGCCAATATTGTTTGTGGGATAAATGTTCCAGGAACCTGTAAATATTTACTATCCAAAGTGTTGATTCCTGCAACTTGATGGTGACTAATATTTACCGAACTATACCACTAGCATCCTGCAACACTATCTCTACTTAGCGCAATGGGCCTGCATGTAATGTCTTCAAAACCTTTTAACCACTCCACACAATCCTTTCAGAAAATGGTTGTCATCACATGGTCTTGCCAAAAAATTGGCAACTCTTGAAGACAACAGGAAATCTGGAGAAA